GTCATCGCCTCGAGCGTTGGCTTGTTCTGTGTGTTGTGTGTGAGTGGGCTGTTGTTTGTTTCTGCATGTCAGGTTGTATGTTATACATATGTAAATATATATGTGTATGCCACACGAGAGTTTCGAGCTTATCAAAAAAGCGTAATGTGCGAAACATGACACTTGCTGGAATTTATGTGCTTGTATCTCATTAAGAAGGTGCAGCGGTACAGTGAAAAGAAGATATTTTATCACGTTTGAAGCTATTTTTGCTGTCAAATGTTGTTTCTCCCTTTTGCACTTTCTTTACTTTTTTTTTGTATTTGTATTGCAATAAAAAAAAAAAACAAAAGAAAATATTTTACTTTTTAACAACCCCCTCGATATCACCCGCTTCGCTAAATGCATGAAATTTCTGCGCGCTAAATTAGGTGTAATTTCAATAAATCTCAGCATAATTAAACTATGCGAAAAACAGAAGATTTTAAATTATTTTAACCATCTTCAAGTTTAGTTTGAATTTAACTGTCTGACCAGTGAATCTTTCTAAAGCTCTTTCGTCTCACACTCATATGCATTCAAAATAATTCACAATTCCTATTTAAAAAAAATTTAATTTGAATTTTCAAATATGTGGCACCTCTGCTATACATACATATGTATGTAGCTTAGAACGAAATCTTTTTCAAGACTTTCGATTAAAACCTACAAATATTTTAATAACTAATTTAACTTATATACAATATAACTATATTTGAATTTAGTTTTAAGACAGGTGGTAACCCTCTTTAAATACCTCATAAGATTCTACATGTTCAAGCTGAACATTTCTAAACACTCTTATGTTTGACACTTAAATTTGGTATAATTATTTTAAATTCGACCTTTAAAAAAGGTGGCAACCCTCTCCAAAATATTTTCCAACTGAAACCTTATTAAAGACCTTTGGTCTGACACCCATGTTATTATACGTTTCTACAGCAAATCTTTATATACATTTTTCGGGTTGGAAAAAATAGTTGAGGCGCGATTTTTAAAAATTTTTTTCTATAAAATCTGTATTAAATATTTTTTAGAAATTGTGCCCGAAAATTGTTGATTTGGAAGAAATTTCTGACTATAGTAAATCAAACCGATGGTTGAAAGTTGTGCACAAAAATTCAGGAAAATGTGAAAAATAAGTCCTGGCTGCTGGCAGTTGGGCGATACCTCGATTGCAAAAAGGTCGTACGACCGGTGTCTACTTGTCTTAAAAGCTTCAAGAAGGAAAGACTTGATGCTCGATTTTTCGTTTCGATTAAAATTGTTTTAAGAATTTAATTATTAACTATTATTATTATTCTATTGTGTTTGTCCGCAGAAACCTTAGAAGCCAGTCATAAAAATATAAGGAATGTGAGATTTTCCCAAATTATCATCACTTAGGTCTACAAACAAAAAAAAAATAAAAAATTTAGATGCAAAAGACAACATTATAAATTATATTTGAAATAAGTTGTCTTATTTATGGAGCAAATTAAGAAAAAATTGTATGTATGATCCTTTTTAAAGAATATTTTAAATTATAAATTCCTTTCAATAACTAAAGTTCATAAGGGAGGTAGTCATTCCCTGGTACCAAATGAAACAAAATTTGCCAAAGAGCTAAAAAGTTTTAACTTTATAAGTTATTATTAGTTTTTAGTACATTCTGATCCCAAATGTAGCTAAAATATCATTTTTGAGAAAAAGGATATATGGGTGGTGGTCATGTTCTTGCACCGAACAAAAGGAAATTTGCCACAGAGCTTAAGGACTTACGTTCACAGACAGCTACCAAGTTTCGATTTATTCTGTTTATAATTATTGCTAAACTTAAACTTTTAAAATTAAGGATGTATTGGAGGTAGTCATATCCTTTCACCGATATTGCCGAAACTTGGAATTTTTCTTATTTTACATAAAGCTTTTAATTGCCTAAATATTTTTAAAAAGAAAAATGGACAGCTATGTAATTACGAACTTTGATTGTTCGAAAAAAAATTAAATCAACGCCATTTTTTATCAACACAAAATACTGGCGGAAAAAAAATTAAAAAATACCAGCGAGAATTTTTGCTGCACATTGTCGTTGAATTGTTCAAAAAATTCAGAGTAAAAAGGTCGAAATTTAGGCGAAACGTTTTTGGAATTTCTCTAAATGTTGTACTTGGCTTGAATCCTTGATTTTTAAGTGTTTAAAAGTGGTTAAAACGCAAACAATATTCTTATACAAAAAAAAAAAAAAATACCAAAAAATTTTTGCTTGAATAAATGGTGAACATTAAAAAACAAATCACCAAGCGGTTTTTTGATTCAGTGTATTTGTCTATAATAACTCCAGTTGAAGTTTTTTCAAATGATGAAGTTTCATTGTTGTCTTGCGCTTTTGGTTGAGGGAAACTGAGAAGATGCCATTAATATGATCTCAAATATGATCTCTTATTGAAATAACGGAAAAATAACAAAACTATAGTTTTTATTACAATAAATAAAAAAAGTAAAAAAAAAAAATTATTCACTTCAGAGTGCATTTCAACCCCTGCCAATTTGAATTCAAAGTGAACTTGATTCAAATTCACTCGGAAGTGAATTGCAGAACCTGCCGGATCGGTAGATATTTTCCAGACTTGGTAAATTTTTTTTCAAGTGGATGGTAAGTATTTTTTTCGTCAGTGGCAACCCTGGTCTGGCATTAAAATCGTTATCATTCGGCCAAATGAGGACCGATTGCGACAAAATGGGTATAATTTGGAAGACCATCGCTTGGCGGTTCTTCTTATATTTCGCACTCCCGGCATTTTTCATTAATCAAAGAAATGCAACGAAGCGATAGCCATACGCCACTGTGAAAGCTTTCATAGGTCATCAGTGCGTATACGCAACGGCAGCATTATGAATAGAGCGCCAAGTTGCTCACATTGCCTTTTTTTTCTTGGCTAGCAAAAATGTTATAATTAGCGTTTATTTTTTAGGGTAACTAATGGCAACTTACCTTCAGTGAAAAACCGTAATAAAAAGTATATGTAGTTTTTTGTTTTTTTTTAATTTGAAATGCACAACTTGATTTGTTGACTCTTTTGTTTTTTTGTATTTATTTTATTGATTCATAATCTGATATTTATGTATTTATGCTTACACATGTATTTACCTTATGTTGTTACGTACGTATACTCAATTTAGTTTCCTTGAAAAAAAAAAAACGTTGAAAGTGCATTAAATAAAAGAGCAGAGCACACACACGCACGCACACACGCGTGTATGCTGCATGTGAGACTCAGCAAAATTTTTTATGTAGTAAAATTATGTACACAATTATAATTTTTTGTAATAAGTAGTTTTAAAAGTTTAAGCATAGTTTGGACATTATAACTAATTAACTTACATTAGAGATCATTTAAAAATAATATCACAAAAATAATAAATATACAATTTTTTAATTTAACATACAACACTTCTGTAGTAAGTTATGTTTATATGCACATTTTTACGCACGTAAGTGCTAAAGACTTATATTCTACTTTTACAATTTAAGTAGTTTGCAGCGCTTAGTTGCTTTTACAGTGACTCAAACGAGTGTTGACGTCTTAATTTTTTTAAATATTCACTGTTTTTCAGGTTAAATTTTTTTTTGTATATAAAATCATGTCTTATTTATACGAGTACTTTAACGAAAACTTTATGCATAAAGCCGTCAGCACAAAAAAAAATGTATAAAAATTCAGTTTCAAGATTTGACGTTTTTTTGTTAAAATTTGATTCACAGTGACTTACGTGCTGTTTTTTTTTTTAATTTTCAAAACCTTTTTCAAGTAAATTTTTTTTGGCTATTTTTCTATAAAAAATATTGTCCAAGCTTTAGTCAAAACCAAATAAACCAGAGCTTCAAACTTTATACAAAACTTAGGAAAATTCAAAAAATTGGTATTAAATGTTGCGTTGATTTTTATTTAATTTTTTTTTTGTAACGGTTTTTGCGTTTTGTTTTTTTTTTTTGTACAACAAGTACAATTTATGAAAATTGTCATTGCATTTTATTTCATAAGAAATTCATGCTTATATGGAAAAAAGTCCAAAAATTCGTCCGCAAAAAACAAGATTAAAAATCAACGCGATCCTTTAGCCGCTTGAAACTTAACTTTATTCTACAAAAATTGTATGCGCTATAAAANTTTGTTAAAATTTGATTCACAGTGACTTACGTGCTGTTTTTTTTTTTAATTTTCAANGCTGAAAGTTTGTTGAATTTTTTTAAATTTTGCATAAAATTTGAAAATTTGATTCACAGTGACTTACGTGCTGTTTTTTTTTTTAATTTTCAAAACCTTTTTCAAGTAAATTTTTTTTGGCTATTTTTCTATAAAAAATATTGTCCAAGCTTTAGTCAAAACCAAATAAACCAGAGCTTCAAACTTTATACAAAACTTAGGAAAATTCAAAAAATTGGTATTAAATGTTGCGTTGATTTTTATTTAATTTTTTTTTTGTAACGGTTTTTGCGTTTTGGTTGTTTTTTTGTACAACAAGTACAATTTATGAAAATTGTCATTGCATTTTATTTCATAAGAAATTCATGCTTATATGGAAAAAAATCCAAAAATTCGTCCGCAAAAAACAAGATTAAAAATCAACGCGATCCTTTAGCCGCTTGAAACTTAACTTTATTCTACAAAAATTGTATGCGCTATAAAAATGCATATCCAAAAATATTCGAAAAAATTCATTTTAAAAAGTTTCAAATTTTGCTGAAAATTTGTTGAATTTTTCTAAATTTTGCATAAAGTTGGAAAGTGTGTTTTATATGGTTGCATGAGCAATATTTTTTTCAAAATAAAAAAATTTTAACTTCAAAAAAATTTTGAATATTGAATAAAATCAATATGTGAACGCTTGTTTCAGTCACTGTATGTCCACTTCAGTACACTTTCATTACAATAAAATTTTAAAATTTAGTTTTATAAACAAAACGAGAAATACATTTATTTCTTACGCACTGCGTCAGATATTTCTTTTTTAATATGCTAGTATAACTTTTTAATACAATTTATGTTTGTATATGGAAAATATGCATGTATTATTTAGTTGTAGGTATGTACTTGTGTATATTAGGTATCATTTTGCGTATACATATGTTGCATTATTTGTTCTTGTTTATTTACTTAAATTTTTTCTTTTATTTTACACTGATTTGGTGTCTACTAAAAGGAAGATTTAGTGTTGTTGTTTTTGCTTTTTTTTTTTTGCTTTCTTACTATGAATAGTAAAATCGAGTATTTTGTTTAAGTAATGGCTATACTCCATGCATATTAGGCCTGATAAAGGGATTGCTATGATACAAGTAATTTCTTTCCTGCTTTTTGATTGCAGATTATATACATACTTTTTTGAATGTTCGAAACTATACATTTTTTCTCACTTTGTATTTGTATTTATGTACGCATATGTATTTTTAAACGATAATGTAGTATTTCCCGCTTATAAGTCGCTGCTTCTGTGAATTTATAGTTGGAAGGAAAGATTTGTTCAGTACCTAAAGAAATTAAGTAAGTAAATATTTTAAAATAAGTAGATATATAGGATGAAACATAAACTACTATTTATCATTGGTGTATATTACAGCTGCAAGGCGCTCTTCCGGTTAAGTGAGTTGACTGTGCGATTTTTTAACAAAGTAACTAACCCGCTCTAATGTACAGTCATATGATTATTGACAGTATTTTTCAATATAATCTTTTTGCTTTTAATTATAGTTAGGCGATGTTATATATTAGTTACAGTTTGCTGCCAAATTTTGAGTTGTCTTTAGTGTGTTTAAGTGTGAATTTTTCCGAATACTCAGTTATTACATTTTATATAATGGATTTTAACATGTAACGGTATACACACTTATTTCAAAAACAAAAGTACAATATATTTGCACTGGCGTCTGTTTGTTTAAGGTGTTTTGTAAATCGTATACATACTTACATTTCTTGAGTTGGGTACGCGCGATATATATTTTTATTTACACTTATAGGAAATATGAAAAAGTGTAGATTTTATGTATGAAAAAAATAAGAATTTGTGACTTGCCAAGTTTACATTTCACTTAAAGCTTTTCTTGATTTGCAAAGTCCTTATACATAGCACTTAATTGAATATTGCTCGGTTACCTTGATTAAAAATAGTATGAATTTGTTTTTGAATACTGTCAAAATATCAGAAAAACAACTAAGGTTTGGTCAGATTAGATTGATTGAGATTCTAGCGAAGAAGAACAGCTGGTTCTTAGTTTATCCAAGGATGAATAGAATTTAATCACTAGTCGCAATGCCATGTTCTGAGATTCACAGTAATTTGTTCATCTGTGGGTCGTATACATATATTATCCAATTAGAAGAAGAATACAAAAGACAAGTTTGGTCAAATGCGATTTGCAAATCGCTTTTCAATGGCATATAATGTGCTCAAGGGTATCCTCGTTATTGTTTAGATTGCACACGTGAGATGGTGTAAGACGGTGTTCCATAAGTACCCCAACTAAATATTAGTCTGTAGTTTACACTAGGAAGTTCAAACACATATTTAGTTGGTGGTTTGTTGTGGTGTAAAATTGAAGCCATGACCTCAGAATTATCTAGTTTTGTTTTGAAATAAATTAAGTCACGTTGACCGATTCAAACTGTGTATTTCTATATAATCTGGCGTCCAGTAGATAAAAGCGTATAAAGAGCATATTTTTTTTTTTTTGCTCTGCACTAACCTACACAAAGTGCTCATAACGACAGTTACTGTCAATTAATATATTCATACACGAGCAACGGCTGGTTTTCATTAGGTCAAAATCATTGACATCAAAAACTGCCTTCATCAGGACATTTGTTCGTTTCATTACATTTTAAAAACTAACCAAATGTCGATACCGCAGTGCATGTCAAAGACTGCCGACAAATTTCGGTGTCAGATGTTTGACATTCCGTTTTCATTACAAATGTAAAATGTGAGAATAAATTTTTACAAAAAGTGTAGAATACCGATCTTTTAGCTATAGACAAACCAAAAATGTAACTGGAATCATGCTGATTTTTTTCATAAAATTACCTTTTTTGAAGAAAGTTGCATAATTAGTGCTATAGAAATTTTTATTATTTAGAAGGTACAACTTATTAGCTCATATAAAAGGGCTTTTTATAAGGCAAAATTTAATGAAAGTAGTGGTAAAAATCGAAATTGTATATACATTTTTTTTAAATGCCATTTACCTAAAGTTTATTATAAAAATCGTTATAGTAAATACGTCGTAAAAATGGTACTAAATTAGCTTTGCAGTGGCATCAATACTTTTCTAATCGGTCAAGTAGTTTCCGAGATATTAAACATATAAAAAATAGGAAAGCTGAAGTTTAATATGTTATATTTTCTTTGTTTTTTACATGCCCCAAATAATTAGTATGGTTGAAATCAGCGTAAAAAGTTCTATCGATCTGCATTTTAGTTTTTTTTTTTTTGTAGCTAAGCGGTCGGTATTGCAGCTTGAATCAGCTGTTCGCTTGGCGTACGAAATCAAAATTGCATTTAGAGCTAAAGTGGCCTGAGAGCCCACACATATGAAATTAGGAAACATTTTAATAAGCTTTTTAAGGTTTGCACATGTGGTGAGCGTAGTCGAATATGTAGATTAAAATAGCATACTCAGAATTTTGAATTTACCCTCAAAATCTTGGCTTAATGTTGAAAACCTCAGTTTCGGTAGGCTGGAGCTTGCACTGGGCCTCAAAATCAAAATAATATTAGTGCGGCATGCGACTATTTTCTTTTGTGGGTTTGATGTTCATTATTTTTTTTATAAAAGTATGTATAGCTCGTTGCATAACAACAAGCATATAAATCCAAATTTCAAACTTTGTGCGAAAATTAAAAAAAAAATCTACAAATTTCAACAAAATTGCATCAAAGATTCAAACTTTTTAATCCAAACTGCAAAAATCCGAGTTTTAGAAATTTTTTATTTAACTACCATTGTTAAGCATTTTCGTTTATATGAAAAAAATAAGCATTCTTTATACGGACGAAATTACAACTCACGGACTTGCCATCAAACAGAAAAATTTTTCAGTTTTACTATACCGGTTGCATTTTTAGACCAAGCATAACAAATCTTGAAAAATGCCGTACTGGATTTTCATTCTGAAACGAATCGAACCATTTTTTACAGTGGTTTTCGGTTCGGTTTTGGCGTTTCGGCTCGAAGCCCGAAAAAAGCGACGGTTCGGTTCAAAACCGGTTTGCAGCCGTGGTTTTAACCATTAATTTTTGTTGTTTTTCAGTCAATAAGTCTATTTACAGGGCTATAGAGTTTCTTTCAGAGCATTGTTTATCAGATAATTCAGTGCGAAGGTGACTTATGCCGCGGCCGTAAGTTGATTCTTTTTTGTTCAAAAAATATTTTTAGAGCCCTTTAACGGACGAAAGTCTTTTGAAAAAAGTTAACCATATCGCTTCTTTTCAATAAAATCTCAAACAAATGAGTGTTGTTTGACGATGTCCAACGGTATCTATGCAAAAGGCAGCTTCCCATTGCTTTTTCGAATATCCAAAAACAAAAGCCTAGCGCATACACTGTGTAAAACTCAAATAATGCATACACACATTTCCACAACGCGCTCAGTTTACACTCAAATGCTGTAATTATTTCCACTCAATACTGTTTGAAAAAAAAAATACTGGTTTATCAGGTGGCTCACTATTTACCCCGCCTTATTGTAAAGTTGAGAAATAAATAAAATAGAAATTCACAATGGTTTTTGTTGGACCCTGGTATATACATATCTACATATGTATCTGTATATCATCATGGCTTAGTATGCATTCCCATTCATTTGTGAAATCGTAAGTTTTTTTAAACGACAACAAGTGTGACAGTAATGGCTGACATTCGTCTCCAATTCGTATTCCGTATTGACATCTCACTTGCACACTCGCTTAACGAACTTGACGGACAACATTTCATCAAGCTCGGACATAGCGAATGTAGATATGTATGTATGTATAGCACATACACAAGCCAGCTATGATGCTGACAGCATGCACCTCGTACCGAGGGGTGCCTACTTGGGGACTGCGTGTGTGTATGTGTGTGTTCGTGTGTGTGTGTGGAGCCAACACGGTGGCGGTGCACATTAATTGAATTTTNAAGTTTCTTTCAGAGCATTGTTTATCAGATAATTCAGTGCGAAGGTGACTTATGCCGCGGCCGTAAGTTGATTCTTTTTTGTTCAAAAAAATATTTTTAGAGCCCTTTAACGGACGAAAGTCCTTTGAAAAAAGTTAACCATATCGCTTCTTTTCAATAAAATCTCAAACAAATGAGTGTTGTTTGACGATGTCCAACGGTATCTATGCAAAAGGCAGCTTCCCATTGCTTTTTCGAATATCCAAAAACAAAAGCCTGGCGCATACACTGTGTAAAACTCAAATAATGCATACACACATTTCCACAACGCGCTCAGTTTACACTCAAATGCTGTCATTATTTCCACTCAATACTGTTTGAAAAAAAAAAAATACTGGTTTATCAGGTGGCTCACTATTTACCCCGCCTTATTGTAAAGTTGAGAAATAAATAAAATAGAAATTCACAATGGTTTTTGTTGGACCCTGGTATATATCTACATATGTATCTGTATATCATCATGGCTTAGTATGCATTCCCATTCATTTGTGAAATCGTAAGTTTTTTTAAACGACAACAAGTGTGACAGTAATGGCTGACATTCGTCTCCAATTCGTATTCCGTATTGACATCTCACTTGCACACTCGCTTAACGAACTTGACGGACAACATTTCATCAAGCTCGGACATAGCGAATGTAGATATGTATGTATGTATAGCACATACACAAGCCAGCTATGATGCTGACAGCATGCACCTCGTACCGAGGGGTGCCTACTTGGGGACTGCGTGTGTGTATGTGTGTGTTCGTGTGTGTGTGTGGAGCCAACACGGTGGCGGTGCACATTAATTGAATTTTGATGCACTTTCCATAGGCCCTCCCGCCGTGTTTGTACACTTGAAGCTCATATACGTTGGCCGGCTGGCTGCTTGGCTGTTAGACTGGCAAGTAAGGTGAATCAAATGCAGTGTGCGAGAGTGATGGACTGCTGTCGCTCGAGGTAACAAGGCTAATGGTTAAAAGAAAGAGATGACAGCATGCAACGCTCTCTCTCTCATTGCAACAAAAAGTTGCAGGTTTATTTTGTATTTATTTTAAACTGGTCGTCTCTGCTTCTCAGCAGCGGAACGTTTTTTATGTTGTTGTTTATATTATTTGCAAAAAGTTTTGTTTATGATTTCTCTTGCGCTGAGTTACTCTCAGCTGTTATTTTAAGCGAAATACTCTTAAATATATATACTCTTATTTCTACTCTTATTTAAGAGCATTGATTTCAAAGAGCGTGTTTCTGCACATTGAGAACAGCGCCTTAGGTAAGAGCGAAATTTTTTAAGAGAACTTTGACTTTCTGAGAGCAATTAATAAGAGAGAGCTTATAAAGAGAAAGGCAGCACCGAGAAATAAATGTAAGAGCACAATGGCATAATTTATTTTATTTTAACGATTTCCCCAACTTTTGAAAAAAAAAAAANTTGAGAGCAATTAATAAGAGAAAGCTTATAAAGAGAAAGGCAGCACCGAGAAATAAATGTAAGAGCACAATGGCATAATTTCTTTTATTTTAACGATTTGCCCAACTTTTGAAAAAAAAAAAGTTTTGACCGTTGCCAATTAGTATTGGTNGCCGCATACACTGTGTAAAACTCAAATAATGCATACACACATTTCCACAACGCGCTCAGTTTACACTCAAATGCTGTCATTATTTCCACTCAATACTGTTTGAAAAAAAAAAAATACTGGTTTATCAGGTGGCTCACTATTTACCCCGCCTTATTGTAAAGTTGAGAAATAAATAAAATAGAAATTCACAATGGTTTTTGTTGGACCCTGGTATATA